TCTCAAAAATAAACATTATTTTACCACAACGATGTATCTATTTTGTATTGTTTTTTATTCTTCCCCATAATATTTCTACAAAGAGTGTTTGAATAATTAGCTGATAATAAAAATTAATTATGCTCAGGTAACTGAATATGCATAACAGTAAACTTAAGTTTGTTACAGAGTTCATTATGAAAATCAAATTAGCAGGAAATAATCAATTTCCTCTTCATATACCATTGAAAATTCCTAACATAAGTAATTCAATGCTTTGAAATTTATCAACTAGCTTTAATGTGCTTCAAATATAAAAATTTGTTAAAACTTAATTTAAGACAGAATATATTATATTTGTACAAAAAAAAAAGTTACTGATTGCTTCTTAAAATATAACTTTTTGAAATGTTAGTCCTAGTTATTATGTACAGAAATTCATATCTTAATAAGAACATAATACCTGATATAACAAAGTTCTTAATCTGTTTCAAAAATATTCAAGTTAACTTAAAGAAGTCATTTCACACACAAATGGACAAACTTGGGAATAACCAACAACTGACATAAATAATGATTGAAAAAAAAGTTTATTGCCATTACGAAAATTAAGAAGTTTATAAGCACACATACCAAAAATTTTACATTTTATAAAATATTTGAGCAAGATAATTCCTCATTATTCAAGTATTAAGTAAACCACCCTCATGATACATTTTATTAGTATCAAGGCACAACAAGGTTTTGGTCATACAAGTCTGGGTGTGGCATATTCTTTAAGATTTTTAACAGACACTTAGTGTTTCAATTAAATGTTAAATTTATTCTTCAACAAATTTTCTATCCTCTAAGTCAATACCAAAATGTAATGAAAGGTAACAGCTTATAATACTAAAGAGGTTAAATGATTGTAACATTTTCCACAGTGTAGACCGCAAGACACACATGATAGTTAAACTCTAACATGCAACATACAGACTCTGATATGATGTATACAAGTATTTTAATACGTAACATGGGTATTCTGATGCATGATATACATATATTTCAATACACCACAGTTATTCCTACTGTGACACAGAGATCTTAATTATGAGATGACATACACTAGGTTTCAATTATAAGTCACCATTGATATAATGAAACTTGGTGCAGTGACTGAAAAAGCACTTTCAAATGCTACAACTGCAACCTTGGTTGGTTCCAATTTAATATTTTTTCTAATTGAAATAAACTGTCATTTAACTCATTTTAATTTCCAACTGAACATGAGTTATGGACAGTTTATTACACACATTTTAAGCACAAAAAGATATCAGCATCTGGTTAGAATTTATAAAAGTGTGTGTGTGTGTTTTAAACTGCTTATGTACTTTTACAAGACTATGCGGTCCTTTGTGAAGCTTTTATTTAACTGGACACTTTCTTAGGAACAATTTCTGACCTATTTAAATATATGTGTAAAATGTTTGAATACCTATAATAATTCTATGTGTAATATAATCTATTTTGTTTGTACAAATAGACTGTGAAGTAGCAATATAGTTCATTTTTTGAAGACATCTTGCTTAACTCCTTCCCTTATAAAACTTAAGAAGTTTGATATCAAATAGTCATTTCAGAATGTTCATAATTATATACTGTACACAGTTTTATTACCCTAATATTTAAGTAATTTTCTTTGTAAACTACATTTTTTCTAGGAAAATTTGAAATTAAAAGGAAATATTAAATATCCAATTTTAATGCAACATTATGAAATTTACTGTTCATATCTCAAGTGTTTTAAATAAGTAGCATGAATAAACAACCACAGTTATTTTTTTTCTCTTATAGTAAAAGAAAGAATGTGATTGTACAAGTTTTCTGAATTATGTTTTTACCATTTCTATATAAAAAAACAACAACATGAAGAGTGATAATTAACCCATTAACTGCGGATGACGGATATTTCCGTCATTGAAGTTATATGGCTCAGCTGTGACTGACGGATATTTCCGTCAGTCACACATATATAACTATAACTCTATATGAATGATGAAAATTACCGTTTTATTGTGAGTGATGGCAACTCAGATTTATCTGTGAGTCAGAAAACGGCAACTGAGCAGCTCCTGCCACAGTTAATGGGCTAATATTAAGAAAAGTTTTTTAATAATGTTGATATTTACTGATTAATAGTACCAAAGCACAGAATGACAAAACAATTTCAGTTTGAGTGTAATTAAAGGTCTGGCACATATTGTACAAGCAAGGTTGCTATAATATATTCCATACGTCTAACATTTTAACATTTGTAGATCTTAATTTAAAGAGGTAAAGGTATATTTCTAATCCTTTGTCAATAATAAAAAAATAAAAATTACAATTTCTGACAAAATCAATACATCAATTAAAATCATTTGTAAAATCCCCACTATAGTGATTAAGCATCAAGCAAAGCATAAGCCTATGTATAAGGTATTTTAACATATAACATCAGCACACATGGTACAACAAATATTCTGACATGACATAACACACAGATATTCTCAAACACGATATCAACAAGTGCCTTGATGCAACATATAGGAATTCTTAAACATGATATCAGCAAGTGTTTTCACACAATATATAGGAATTCTTAAACATCATATCAGCAAGTGTTTTCACACAACATATAGGTACATACTACATCAACAAGTGCTGTGATGCAACATATGGGTATTCTGATACAATATCATTATGTGTTGTATAACAAAACACACAGGTAACTTGCCATGTAATACATCATGTACTTTTAACTAAAAACTTAAAAGTACAGATAATTTTTTTAAATGATAGCTTCAATACTAATTTTATGTATAAAGAAAATACATAAAAATCACTGCTATCTTAATTACATCAAAAAATTATGATTTACAGTCTTATATCAACATTTTGATCTTCATAATAAACCCAACAATTTATTATCAGAATAAACTTTTCAAAAGAACTGTTCCCAAGCAAAGCTATAAAATGAATTAACACTGTCAATTTGCACACAGTAATGTTTACCATAACTATGACTTTACTGAATGTATCGTCACAAAATTTGGCAAGCTTTCAGTGTACATTTTAAGCCCATTGTCACAAAATTTGGCAAGCTTTCAGTGTACATTTTAAGCCCATTGTATATAAAAGAGAAAAAAAAAATCAGATTTCTTAATAAAGTATTTCTGCTAAAACTTTGTTTGTGAATGTATGATGCCTTTATTGAATCAACCTGAATGAAATGTGATTTTCACAATAAAATATTTGAGCACATGGTTCAAGTAAACACTTGTTTTCCTTAAATATCAATATCATTGGCAAAGAAAATAACAAATAGAAGTAAAAACAAAGAAGCTCTCTCTACTAAAAAAACAAAACAAAAACCTAGCATTAGCCAATTTTCAGGTGTAAAATTATATTTATTCTAATTTTTTTTCTATTTAACATTTGTGTTTAAACTGCTTTTATTTTGTTGCCTAGTGATGTAATATCACTGTTGATACTGCAACACAATGGTTTTGTTCCATTACTTAACTGTATCCACATGATGATGCTAAGTACACCTAGCAAACCATAGTTTTTAAAACTAAAATAAAATAAAGTTTTTAAAACACATTAATTGTTCTATCTTCAAACAAAACTTTAACTTTGAGAGGATCACCTAACATCCAAGAAGAACATCAAAATAGCAGGCAGGATTGTACCATTTGAAAATTTTAAACATCAATTCAAAATACCTCCAGAAATATACTCGGAGACACTGAGTATGTATGGAGTCAGTTGCAACAAAGTTACCTACATGAAAAAGTGGTAGTGGTAGTCTAAAATTGGTTGTAACTAATAATTTTGCTTTTTAAAGAAAAAACTATGACTACAAATTGTTTAAAATATCAATTTATATATGTCAAAGTTTAAATTTGGTCCTAATTGATTATGATTTCACCTTAAAGCTGGAGCAAACAACTACATATAATGTTTTTATAAAAAATTATTTAGTTAATAAAGAGATATTTAACTAAGAACACACACAAATACCTATAACATCTTTAAAGATAAGACAGAAGAAATAAACCAGTTCTTAAATTCTACAAAACCCAGTAATTAAAACACTTTAATCAGAATTAAGAAAACTCAATTATTATTGTAACTTGTATTATAATAATTAATACAAATTTTTGATATAGTTTTCACTTCTAAATATGGATTTACAATAAGTAAAAAGAAGCTGTTACATTCTTTCTTAAGTCCTATGAAAAACTTTCTGCAATCTGATTATAAGACTTGATAAGAACTCAATGATTATTATTTGTAATAATCAAAAAAGCCTGTGAATAGTAATAATTTAAAATATCTCCAAGTATATTGGATAAAAAAGATTTTTAAAATTATTCCAGAAAGATACAAAGACGATTAAGGAAAGCAACTACAATTAAAGATGTTAGCATCAGGTATGTGGTATTTTCAACCTGAATGACAACTTATGTAACACATAGGCTAATCAGCCAGGTAGAGAACTTTAAGGTTCATTATTCAGAGCTGCTGATGGAGTGGTGATAGCAAGCCAACAGCACTTCATGCCTATGCAGCTATTCTTAACTAAATAGTGGATTGAGTGTCAAAAGTTATAATGCCCTTAGAGTTGAAAAAGGTAGAACATGTTCAAGAGTATATTGAGACTTGTACCTTGGAATTTCTGATCTTTAGTCTGACATACTGTCCACCCCAAGTGCATTAGAATTTTATTGCAGGTTGTAGTAATTATTACTATATTTTTTATAATATGAAAACATTATGTAATAATATTGTAACCATTTATCACAAAAACCTTGCTTTTATGTCCAACAATTTGGACATTATGTCCAATCTGCAAGATATAGTAGGTTCATCATTCAGTGTCATCATTTAACACAATATGTCGAAAAATATGAAGTGTTCTTTACTATGTCAGATTTGTCAAAGTGCTATTAATCATACCATATGAAAACAACAATGTATAACATATATATATACAATTATAATCAACCTAATCTTAAAACACATGAACATTGTTAACATATTCAATTATTTATCATGAAAATATAGAAAATAAAACAAATTTAAAAATTAGGCATTTGTACAACCAGACAAAATGAAATAAAACTTTCTTTGGAGGGGAGGGGGTTACAGCATACAAGTTTATAGTAATAACTGTGGCTACAACCTAACATCTGTTACATGGCTAAAGATAGTAGACATTACATTGTCATACTCAGTCACTGTTGATACAGTGTAGTTAGAAAATATTATTTGGCTATAGCCTGATAACTAACTGCTGCTTTTGGTATGTTATCAATAGAAAAAACATGTGAACAGGAAGTAGATTCACTTTTCACTTAAAGATTATATTATCAAATTCACAAATTACATTATTGAAAAATTAACAAAATCCTTATCCTAAAAGATCCAAGTGTTCATCTACATTTTCAAATAAACTGTCATTGTGAGAAACAGTTCCTTCCTGCAGTTTCTTGGATGTGTGACTCTCATCATCAGGAAAATATTTTTTTGGTAGTTGCTTTATAGAGCTACAAAATTAAAATTATTTCAATTATATAAAATAGCAGTTGTTGTCAAGCAATTTGTTAATATAAATAATAATCTCAACCACAAATATGTCTATGATATTTCAGCTGGCTTGAAGAGCCCTAGTACTGAAAAGGCCTCATTGGAATTGGATATAACAGATGCAGTGTAAGTGCCACATTATTATATACTGTTCTTTACTTTCACTCACAAGTTATTATTAATAAATACTACAAGATACTTAGGACTATATATAGCTGTACATAAAATACTGTTGTAAAGTGTTCCGCCATTGTACAAGTTCTTTTGGTAAAAATAATGACAAGTCAAGTCCACATACTGACAACATATCTATTTCTTTAATAATGTTTGCTCTAGCCACATTCACTTGTAGACCTAACTCCACAAATAAACTTACTTTCAGAATTAACATGCTGACTAAATAAGAAACTAAACATACAAATAGATATGATAGCTCTCACTTGTAGCACAAATTTTGACTAACAATGAAATGAATTAATCATGACTGACTACCCACATTTATATTGTATCTTTATTTCTACATATTAGACTAAGCTTCTTGGCTTGGTGATTAGGGTGCTTGATTCAGAATCTATTGGAATTTTCCCCTACTCCCCCATAAAATAAAACTGGTGTGTGCTAGCTTCATAATTTTTCAAAGACTGCATTATTTTATCATTGTATTAGTCTTTTTGCAGAACATTTTTTTTAAATGATCTAGACCAGTGTTTCCCAAACTATGGGTCGCGACCCACTGGTGGGTCACAAGTGGAATATTAGTGAGTCGTAAAAAGTTATACTAGAATTCCGCATTAGCTTCGATTAAACGCTGTCTGTCGAGATAGTTCAAGACTGTGGCTTTCATTGCCAGGCTGTTGTTGTATCAAGCAGTATGTTGTTTTGACAAGCTTAACGAATCAGGGTTGATCATGCTCTCAATTTAATCATTCGTCATCGTAAAAAGGAAATCAATTTTCACCTATTCATACAGTACTTTAGCTATAGTACCGGTTTTATCAGTTGATTGCAGAATTTTAACTTTTAATTATAGATATCTATAATTTTTTTATATTTCTAGGTATCCTTTGATTATATGTAGATATAATGCGCCCCCGGCTCCTATGCCTATGCTATTTCAATCAAAAGTTAAAATTCTGTAACCAAAAGTTAGATATCTACTTACAAAGGATATCTAGAAATAAAAAACTATAGATATAAATAATCAAAAGTTAGATATCTGCATTCAAATGATAGAAATCTACAATCCATTGTTCAGATTCTGCAATCAACTGATAAAACCTGTACAATGCTGAGCGAGACGATAACTGCTTCGAGGCTTCACGAGGCAGTCGTGCATGCGTCGTGTCAGCCAATGAAATGACTGGAATAGACGGTGTGAAGCATTTTGGCATGTGCGTGATCCTACACCAACCGCTGTTTTAATTGTGTCAAATCGAGTGGCAAGTCGAAATTGTCTGTTTTACTTCAGATTTTGAATCCGATTTTTTTTCGAATTTACTCAGCCCTTCGTGTAATGGATAAATGGTTAAAGAAGTCAGTTGAAGTTGATGACAATGAGTCTTCAGTGAATCAAAACGAAGAAAAGTCAGGTCAATCAAAATCAAGTCAATCAAAACGAAGAAAAGTGGTGAGAAAGTATGATTCCAAGTACTTAGAAATGGGATTTACATGGAATGGGGATGAAGAAGATCCACGACCACGATGCATTATTTGTTGTGATCAACTTGCAAACGAGAGCATGCGCCCAAACAAATTGCGTCGCCATACTGAGATGAAGCATCCTGAGTTGAAAGACAAACCCCTCGATTTTTTGAAAGGATGCTAAGCAAGTTGAAGACAGGACAGAGTGTTATGCAACGTTACACCAAAGTTAATGAAAAATCTTTCTACATGTTCTACCTGATCAGTTTGTGAATCGCGAAAGCTGGTAAGCCACATACAATTGGAGAGACTTTAGTTCTTCCAACTATAAAAGATACAGTTAAAGTTTTCTTTGGTGATAAGAGTGAACAAGAAATTGAAACAATTCCTATTTCTAATAACATGGTCATGCATAGGATCGATGAAATGTCTCGATGGATAGAAAATCAGCTAATTCAAAGAGTTTGTGAAAGTACAATTTTCTCCTTACAACTAGATGAATCTACTGACGTACAAGGTCTGTGCCAGTTACTTGTTTTTGTGCGTTATATATGGAACTCCGAACCTCATGAAGATATGTTGTGCTGTGAACCAGTCAGTCAAAGTACTAGCGATGATATTTTTTTAAGACTGTTGATACTTATGTCAAAACAAAAGGTCTTGATTGGAATAAATGTTTCGGAATATGTACGGACGGCGCACAGGCTATGTGTGGTAAAAACAGTGGTCTAGTGACCAGAATACTTGAACTTAATCCAAATACATCATGGACTCACTGCAACCTTCACAGAGCAGTGTTAGTATCAAAATGTATATCTGATGATTTTAAAAATGTTTTGAACACTTCCATTAAAATAGTGAACTTAATAAAGTCAAAGCCATTGCAATCGCGCTTATTTGAGAAGTTGTGTGAAGAAATGGGAAGCAATCATAAATCACTTCTTCTGCACATAGAAGTACGTTGGCTCTTGAGGGGTAAAGTGCTAACAAGACTTACAGAACTCCGCGAAGAAGTTGCTATATTTCTGGAAGGTAAAAGCGATTTTGCGAGATATTTGCGGAACAAGGAGTTTGTTCTGAGGCTCACGTATTTGGCAGATATTTTTTCAAAACTAAACGAACTGAATTTGTTCTGAGGCTCACGTATTTGGCAGATATTTTTTCAAAACTAAACGAACTGAATTTGTACTTGCAAGGAGCAGAAGGTATCAGTATATTCGCAGTTCATGAGAAAATTCGAGGTTTCATGAAAAAACTTGTTCTATGGAAAAACTGTATTGACAAACGAAATTATGACTGTTTTGAAACATTTCAAACCTTTGTAATGGAGAACGAAGCAAAAGTTGATGACGACATAATCATTGAGATATCTGAACACTTGAATAAGCTGAAAGAGTTTTGAGTTTTATTTCCTTGAAGAAATGAAAAATATCCAGAAAAAATTGGATTATGAACCCCTTTTAGCCTGACATAACGAGTGGAATATCGACAAAAGCTGAGGAAGAACTTTTTGATTTATGTGAAGACGCTTCGTTAGAAATGAACTTTAACAGCAGAAAACTGATACAGTTCTGGGTGTCTGTTTGAAAACCGTACCCAATCCTTTCCACTGAAGCTTTGAAGGTACTTCTCCCTTTCTCATCTTCACATCATTGTGAAGTTGGATTTT